GAAGCGATTTGCAATTACCGATTGCTTTTTCATAATTAAGTTAAAAAAATATTTAAATTCCATGCTGGTTGTAATGGGAATTGAACTCTGACCCTCTGGAAATTAGCAAATTGTGGCCAGACATGTAAATGTGCATTTAAATGTTGAGTTTGAATCAACACCACGCGGGCGTGTTATGAAAGTATTATTTTTAAATACGAATATTTTTAAACGATAATCAAATAGATAATATTCATGTTTACTAAGCATTATTTCCCTCAGTGAATTCATAACATTTTTCTGAATATTACAACGCGTTTTTTCTCTTAGTGTAGTGATTTTTGAACTTTTATTAAAATTTGTGCAATCAAATCAAAAACCGGGACACTAAAACGAAACCCGGGACATTTTAAGGTTGGACCGGGACACCGGGACAAATAGTCTAAAACCGGGACATGTCCGGGAAAACCGGGACGTCTGGCAGCCCTATCCAATGCATGATACAAAAAAGAAGGTTGTTTCTTTGTCACTTTTCGGGCGCCATATTAACTACCTGACAATTAAGCAGATTGTGACGTTTCGTGCTACCATACATAATCCTCAATAATCATTTATTTAGTGTAAAAACAAAATATTTAGAAAACTAAAAGGAAATTTGTCTTCGATCTGAGCAATAACGAAAATTGAACCTCATACATCGCCATATTTGAAAAAGCAACCAACTGACTTTTTCTTTGAAATAAAAGACCGGTAAATATGTTGTCCTCCGCAAAAATCAGCAATTATTAAATTAGTTTCTTCTAAAACCAGTCACCGAAAAGGATTTGGATGTGCTTTGCAAAGGTAAGGCTTTAATTTCGGTGCTTCATGCTATGATAGATATTATAGTTATGGACGATAGGAGTTACTGCCGGTTGAACTGGCACCCAGAGTTTGGAAGTAAGTAGTTAGAGCGCTGCCCAATGCCTTAAGTGCAGTTTGACTGTCACTGCAAACATGTCAGCCTGGAAGACCGAAGCATACTTCCCCAGAGAAAAGTCCAAGAGAGAGTCAGTTTTGGAGCCATCATTGAAGATTCGATTATGTGTGATTCCGGGCTCAGTGCTGGTATTAAACCAGCATTCAGCCGCAGGGAACTAATCATTATAGAATCTCTTCAACAAAGGTAAGGGTGGCGTACTATCCTGTGTGTGTTCAGATCTCTGCCGCTAGTAATTTCCGCCTTGCCCCACTCAGTGTTATACCAGCATCCATTTCTTTAGCAGCAGTGCATAAAGAGCAGCGCCACGTATTGTAGAGAAAGCTGCAAGACAGCACACGGCAGTAGTTCTTTGAAGTTTAGCAAGCAGACTTCCCACGCTCTTGATTGAGAATCTTCTCCACTATACCACTGACGCATAGATAATTATGGGTCTGATCATAGAGGTTATAAATCCAGAGGATTTCCTATGGAGACACACCCCACGTTTTGCCAAAGACCCGCTTACGCTGCCAATTCTTTAGAGGTTTTGTGTTCCACGTTAGATTTACACGACAGTTTTGTATCCTGAATTACTTCTGGATTCTTCAGTCTTATAGGAAATTGCCTTACTATACAACATATACCTTTTGAAGAGTTCTAATATACGAAAGCCGTGTGGAGCTGCCGATACAGGCATACATATGTATATTCATTTGTGAACACAGGAATAATCTAGCTTATAATAATAAATTGTTAACACACTGTAAAGCGTTTCTTATTCATCATGAAAATGTTTGTTTATTTTATTTGAAGTTTGCAAGAAAAAAACAACGAATCAGTACAGTTTTCGGTTTTGGGGATAATAAATGCAGTTTATTTTCATTTTAGCCGCGCACTTTTTGTAAATTTTTTATTCGGTATACATATATTTTTAAACTAAAATAAATTGAGTGCCTAACAAAATATAAAAAAGGAAGGTATTGCCTGCGTCATATTATAACATGAGTCTTACTGATTATTATTATTTTTTATTTCTAAGACTTTCCTTATGTTCTGGATGTCCCATTGAAGCCTGTTGTTGCCTTTGGAAGTGTAATTAATTGGGAACGTTGGCCTCAGTGTACTGCAAGTATTACTACCATAAAATCAACTGCAAGTCATTCAAGAATATATAGCAGTTTCTCGAAAGACGTCCCAATGGTTCCTCAGCCACACGATTTTAAGGTGATGGCTGATAAAGTTTAAAGAGCCAAGATAGAAGTGATTAGGCGGTAGTCCTATTAAACTGGAATCATTAAGTCTTAACGTAGACTCAGTTAGACTCGTTGTGATACCGTATTAGGTTAGCATTTATCCCCTAAGAACTATAACTTTATCGTCTAAGAACTAGCTCTAATAACGGAAAACCGATTTGGCATTCTATCCAACTAAATAATGTCTGACAGAGACAGAGACTGCGGAGCTTGTGACATGTTACTTCCCGTTTTCTTTTTAATGGCGAAAGAATAAGAGCAAGTACTATGCATTTGTGCACCCGTGCCTTCAAGGCCAGTGGTTGACAATAGCTGCTTCGGAGTAGGGATCTATAATATACAATCTATAAGGCTCCTTTTCACTTTGACTTTTAGTCTGAGATACAGGCCTTGAAAGCACAAGAGGACACCTTCAGCTTTTCAGTACCCATCGTTTCCAGCCACCAGGTTTACCTCATTGGAGGACCGGGGAAATGAAGTGGCTGATATTCTCGTCAAAACAAAGTGCTGCAGGAAAATACATAGGTATTTTATAGGTCTACCATGTAGCTCCGTTAGACGAAATTTTTATATGTATGTGAATGCAGAAATAAGCGCAATATTACTAGACTTCTTCTCATTTTTTAAATTGCAAAGTTGCATATAAATTGTAAACTTTTTAGTCAGAGTTTTTGGGTATGCACTTTTATAGCCCATTAAATTCTAGTATAATAAAGTGCAAGTTTTAATGAATTATGCATTTTTCCATATAAAAAAATCGTAGAATATACTTTGTATGGAAGGAAATGCGTAAAAAGAAATTGCCAAAAACCAACGCAATTTTTTAGCAACTCAAAGCTTGCGCTAGAATTTAATGGGCTATAAAACTGCGTACTCAAAAAATTCTGAAAAATCTGATTAAAAAGTTGAAAACTTTAATGCAACTTTGCAATTTAAGAAATCAGCATCTAAATGATTTTCTAGTGAACTTTGGACAAAAGAAATTTGAAATACTATGTTAATAAAACCAAAACCCAATTTTTTTTTTGTTTTTCAACGAAATTTTTTGGGGGTTGAATATAATGATTATATAATGGCACTATTCGAACCCTTATTTTTCCATTTTTTATCTTATTCCTCACGAAAGATTTACGATTTTGTCCATCGACACTCCCAGTGTACGATACACTCTGGAGCGGTTACGGTAAAGTTTTTCCAAAACTTTGACAACCTCTCAAATTATCGACTTTGAAATTGAATAACCTCAGTCGGCCGGTGGTTACTAGCGTTGCCTGAGCGTTGACCCAGAATACAGTCAGCGATATAAGCGCAGCGCCATTTGATATACTTTCTGTAGTACCTTTGATATCTGTTGTCATAATTTGTTGGTATCCTCAACATTTAGATAGATATCTAAATAAGATTTGGCATAAAGTATTTACCTATTACCTCATGTCGTTTGCGTGCTAGGGCTAAGTGCTGGCAAAGATAATGTAGGACTATTTTTGCTTCGAGATTACAGCTGCGGCGCCGAGTTAGTGTAGCTGTCCTATATTAGCTGCATGTTCACTGAGAGCCAGTATTCCATTATCGCGGTTATTAGCCTAACGGTATCTTTTGACTTCCTTAAGAGATCTTCCATTTTCATGCAGTGCGTCAAGACAATCCTTGCAGTTTTGCAGGCTTGTAGGCTGTTCCTAAGCATTCCGTCCACTCGTGCGACTTTCAACCTTATTTCTATCTTGATTACTCCGAGTAGACAAATAACTGTCTCCGCTTCGAGTTCTCAATGAGTTGCTCCGGCTGTAGCCAATAGATAGTTCTCTACTTACTGTGTCTGTTTTTAAATTTGAAAATCCAGACTTGTAATCTGTGGCTCCTTTGGAATTTGCTATTGGTGAGGCTAGTGTTAGGCGTGCTGCTTGGGGCTATGTGAGAAAATTTATGATTTTTGTAGTTGTTTAAAGTTACTTTTCAATCATCTTCAGGCCTTTTGATTCACCAGCACTTCCGCTTGGATAGTGCTAGCTAAGTTAAATAGTCGGAACGTGAGAGGGAGGGACGTCCAGCATCTCCGGGAAAACCAGTAGAGCTTTCCCCAATTACTGGGCCGTGTAGACAGCTTGGGAGGTATGTAGTCTGATTGTTTTACAGATTCTGAAAGGAAGACTTCTAAACCCGTTTCGGCTCGACTTCTGACATATGTTGTTGTTGTAACAGCATAAATATACTCCAAAAGTTTTAAGGAATGCTGCTGCATGAAGATCCTTGGCCAGATATAAATCTGAATAATTCTGGATATGAAGACCCTACTATCATCGGAATGACCTCGTAACATATTGCGGAGTCCACTAAATGCTATTAGACTAGGTACTATCCATCTATTTTGAAATATTAAGACCGAATTTTGAGTCTCACTGTTGGCAGCGATCTCTACTAAAACCATTAAAATCGAAGTAAACATTTTCTCTTACCCTCCTCAGTTACCTTCAAAGCTTGGATATTCTGCGCTCGCCAGTAAAGCGCCTCGTCTAAATCAGTTAACAAAACGATATGATGCATCTGTGGGAAAATATCAAATCGAACTTGAAAAACCGGTAAAGCAAAATTACAAACCGTTTAATAGTGGCGAGAGTTTGGAGAAAAAGCCAAGTTTCGCCACACCTGGGTAAGCAAGAACTTGAACAAATATAAACTCTCTCTCTACCCTTCTACTCATCCAGCCCTGGCAGCTATCCATATCATGAGAAATTGCCCGGATTAAACTATTGTCTTGCCTTCGGTAAACGCCGCATCATTTGGCCTGCCACTGCGGTGTTTTGTACGTATAAAAATTTTGCTAAATGTTTGAACTGCGAGCAAGTGCCGATTGGTGATTATTTGCATAATTTCAAATCGAAAACGAGCATTTGCAGACGCTGTATGCGGAAACAACTGGATAATTTGCGGCAATGTTCGACGAATGCTACAATGCGCAAATACAAGCTTAAGGAATTGAAGGAATTCAAACCTGCTCGTTATTGTGGTTTCTATCACGATCACCGGACCAAAGATAAGGCGTTGCCGCTCATCTCTAGAGCAGAATTGCGTAAGAAAATCGAGCTGGAAAACTATTTATATGGATACCAGCCGGTGTGGGGTAAACGTTGTCTTTATACAAAAAAGTAGGAAGACCACAAAATGTGGAGGGCAAAGGTCTCCGAATAGGCGCTCATTGCATTTGGAATATTTCTATGTACATATTAAGGTAGGCAGAGTAACCTATGATGGCATGGTGGAATAGCACAGGTCATTATACTCTGATGCTAGAAAAATTTAAAAAGGTAAAGAAAAATATATGTATTATGAAATACAAAAGAATAAAAATTATACTCAAACTAATATAAACTAAAAATGTGTAATAATAAATTATAACAATGTGGTGTACGAACATTTTTATAAATATTGGTTTTATTCGAAAAAGTGCGTGACATATCGAATTATATAAGTAAAACAGCGAGCTGTCTCATTTTCCCCACTAAGGGAAAACTGAGGGAATTATTAACAAAAAAGTTCAAATTTAAGAAAAATTTCAAGTACCGGTAACTCGAAATCTCGAGCCAATCTGGCAAAACCCGGCGACGCCATTGAACTTAAACTGGTCCAGTTAAGTAAGATCAGCTATCAAAGCTTTTGTCCAGAAAAAACGTTCAAAACCTAAGCACAGTGTTTTAAACGAAGAAAAATTCATTTTCAGAGCTCTAAAAATTCTCTTCTAAATATCTAAAAATTTTGACGTGATACGGATTTTCTGAAAACGGCATCGCTGTATAGAGCCCAAAATGAAGTCGACTTGTTTGGCCGTTTAGTTGTGACACTTTTGCCTCCATACGTGAAAATTTTGCTTAAGCAGCCGACGGTGTCGAATATTTTCAGAATCCTTTGGATCTACGACCTGCGGGCAAATAACTTCTTCCTCAGGGTATGCGCTTTTGTCCACGAAGTCCGGCAAATTTGTTTGGAGAATATTGAGATATACTTCCCTGTTCATTATTCCTTTAATATTAACCAACGGCACCAAATACCTGGTATACACTGCAGTGGTAGGGAAGCCGAAAATATGTTTTTAGTTCCAGCTCCGGGGAGAAAACAACTCCCCCGATCTCTCCGTCGAGTTTGTAGCCATTCGTATCAGGATGTGAACCTTTAACCGAACCGACACTTTTCTTAAATGTGTGATCCGAACCGAAAACCAAACAACTTTTCATAAGGGTTAAAAGGTTGGTTTCAACCAATTTCAACAGATAAATTTACCCACTTTTTTCATTTTGTTAAATATGGTAGTACCTACCATGTTTGTTTACCATGTGGCAATATCAAATGTAATAGCAACCCATCTCATTTTACGGACACTTGACACTTAGCCTTGCGCGTTGTTGCATTTGCGCGTTTTTTTATGATTTCCGAACCGTTAAACCGAATCGAAACTCTGGTTAAAAGACCAAAAAACCACTTTGACGAACCAAACCAAAAGTGCAAAAACGGTTCGAACCGTTGAACCGAACCCACAAAAATGTTTCATTCGGTTCACGTCCCTGATCAGTATACATGTTTATAGCATTGCATATGTGGTGGGGCCTGGTGTCCCAGTCTTTGCGGGTTGGTATACTAATTTTAAAGTTTTTGTTAAAGGTGGTTTTCTTGATGTGTTCCATTGTGTTGTCATACCAGAGCAGCTGCTGCGAGTTAAGGGTGTCTAAGGAATCGCTCAGTTTTAGCTGGGTTAACCTCAAGACCAAGTAACCAGTGAAGAAATAGCGGCTTCTAAAAGATCACATGGAGGTTATGGAAATTGTCCCTGTACAACAACCTTATATCCAGCCGCCTTACGCACAGCGGCAGTTGGTTCACTGTCACTACCCTTAGGAGTGAAGGGAGGACACCGCGCGGTGGAGTGTCCCTCCTTACAGATTTTTCGTCTGTTTTCCACTTCCGAGCTCACTATCATGCTGGTGAGCAATTGTTGGATGATCCGAACCCGAGTTTTCTCCACCCGCAGGCCCCATAGAGCCGAGGCCATCGCACACGGGAGGACATTGTTGAAATCCTTTGCTAGATCGAGGAATGCTACTAATGCAAATTACTCTATTTCTAGTTATCGCAAGTGGAGGGCGAAATACGTGAGTGCGAAGAGCTTGAAATCTAGCCGACAGGAAGAATGCCCGAAAATTTTACCAGAAAGTTAGGCGACTTACGGAAGGTTTAAAGACCGGAGCGTACTCTTGTAAGAAGAATAATGGCGACCTAGTAACTGATGTCCAGAGCCTACTTAAATTATGGAGGGAACACTTTTCCGCCCTAATAAATGGTAGCAGTACGGAAAGTTGCGGAGGAGGAGAACCCAAGCCCGCAGTCGATGATGACGGAG